GGGACCCCGTGGAAGCGCAGGAACTACAACCAGGGAGTCGTGGGGTGAGTGGCTGCCCTGCGGCCTGGGGCCTGGTCCTTGCCAGCGCGCAGCCGGGCACACGCCCACAGAAGGGGGGTTGGGGGAGCCCGGGCGGGGCCACCCCCTCGGCTGCCTTCGCTGCTGCTTCGGAGGGGGCTGACGGCCACCCCTTCAACCCTGCACCATCCACGCCTCCCCCTAACCCTTCTTGGCGGTCCACACCTTTCCGTCTCCCGCTCCGCCATCCACACCCTCCGCTCCCCTCCCTTAGTCATCCACACTCTCCCTCTTAACCGTCCACGGCTTCCCCGGCCCCCCTTATCCATCCATTCTTTCCTCCCATCCCCCCTGTCAAACACACCTTCCCCGATTCCCCGCTCCAGTCCTCTCCACCTTGCTCCCCTCGTCACACCCTAGATGAGCTTGCTTAGCACAGGCAGATCATTCATTCCCCGAGAACATTCCCGGGTTAGTGCCTTTCGATGGAACAGGACCTGGAGGTGCTTTCCTTGCCAGGAATAGAAACATCCAGAAGCTCCTCCCCCTCCCCAGTCCCAAACAGCAGTCGTCAGCCCTGTAAGTCTTTGCCTGCTGTTGACCCTTTGGCCCATCATTTCACTTTTTATTTTTAAAAAATTCCGCGTATTAGCGATGCCTTGTTCCGCGGGGAGTGAGGAATGGGCTGACAGCTAGGTTTAGGCTGGGGGAGGTGGCGAGCTCTTCCTCTGAGGCCGATAGAACTTTCTGGGAGTTCATGGTCCTTGGACCCAGCTTTTGTCTGTAAAGTTATCATCCTGGCAGAGACAGCCAATGCTTTTCATTCTAGGGGGTAACTTTATGCTAATGAGCGAGTGTTGCACCACTAATGACTGTTTAAAGTTCATCTGTTACAAAATGCAGTCCTACCTGACCCCTAGTGAGTTATGTACATAGGCAGGGAATGTTTTCAGGTAGATTTCTCTTCTGGAAAATCCCCTGGGCTGGAATAGGTTACTGAGTCTTTTATTTATTTATTTATTTTGGGGGGAGGTGACATTTTTGTTTATGTCTGTATATGTTTACCTGGAATATGGAAAATGAGCTTTCAAATTGCTTTTCACTTTTCAGCTCCTGTTTTACATTGGGGGCTACAGTAGGCAAATGAATTCACTATCAGTAATCCCTTGTGAAACCTTTTCTTAGATTCACCCATTCAGATTGGCCCTGTTTTGGCAAGCAAAGACAGTTCACCTTTTTAGGTTGGTGGGTTCCATCTGCTTCTAGTGGGCTGGTGTCTGCTGCGTGCTACTATTACAACTCCCACCTTTCATGGAAAATGCAGCCGAGTGTGTTAAGACTGCCATGGGGGACAGGCACCTGTCAGACCCGTCCTCGCTTTCCCCTGGTGAACCTTTTAGGGTTGAGTCCTCTGCTGGGGAGCTTAGGGGCGCTCTCCATGGTCATCACGTTTTAATAAAAGGCTCACAGTTCCATCCTGCTAGTATTTCCAAGAGGCGGCACAAACCTGTGGCTTAGTGACAAGCAAATTGATATTGAGGGATTCTGGTAGTTTCGTTTCACAGGAACAGGCTCCAGTTAAGTAATCACTGTCAACTAAAACCTTGAAGTTCCCTAATTTTGCTTTACTGAAGCTCCTGCGTATGTGTCTAGCAAAGATATATTATCAGTCCCAAATGCTGGCTGCCTGTCTTGCCGATAGATTAGAAACTGTCCTGTCCTCTGTTTGCTGTTTATTGTCGAAGATACTGTAAAAGGGTCACATTCGAAATTGAGTAGAGGCAACATGGTCAAATATTATATTGCCCTCAAAGGGATTAAAGAGAGGAATTTCTATTTCCCAGAGGGATTACTGTTTAAAAACTGATTGTAAACCTATTTTAAGACTGCTTATGACTTTATTAGACTTTCCATTCTTTTGCCGCCTCCTCTAGAGGCTGTCAGCTGTTTAAAATTTTTTTATTATGTCAGGCGATTCCTAAGAGTATTTTTATAAGAGTGTCTGGGTGCTTAAAAATTCTTGTTTTGATTTATGGATCCTTATTTCTTGACTTTTACGGAAGTTTTGCTATTTTTAATACAAATATTTTAAAACTCTGAATTCAGAGTGCTATGTTAGTCTATTCTGAGATGAAACATAGTAAAACTGTTGCCAGCATTCTGAGTTGTTGAGATGTGACTGACATTTAGCTAATAGGTTAACAAATTGTGGTGGTCCCTGGCCTCTAAACTGACAGTGCAGATAGGGAGGGGAGAGAGAAGCACATGAACAGTGGGCTAGAACTGTGGGTCAGCTGTATGCACTGTCTCGCATCTGCCTCGATCCCTCTGGGTTCTCTGCTTCGGCCAAGCTGGTTGACTTCTCTGTTGCTGGCTCATTTTTTTTAGGTCCCTCCTCTGAATTCTGGAAGTACTTGCTTCATGCTCTTGGCATAGCTTGCTTATTTATGTTTACTTTTCTTTTGATGTATATGTTTCTTCTTACCCACTAGGTCACCAGTTAAGATAGGAATTTCTTCGATGTAGAGTAAGTTATTTGGATTTCATCCCCAAGTCTTAATAGACCTCTTTCCAAGTTCAGCTCACCTGGGCTCACCATCGTGGCCTCTCTCCGCGTACCCACAGACGCAGGGGGTTGTTTGCTTTCCTTTTCTTCTCTTCAGAGTTGCTTTCACTTACTTTTGCTTGGGATTCATTTTTCTCCAAGGCTAACCGTGGTGTAGGAAGCAGTCCACCCGCTCCTTCTGGTTGTCCTCGAAAACGAGCCATAAACCCTTTGCTTTGCAAAGATTTAATTGTTGATCACCATGGAGAAATAAGTGAGGACAAAAATCAGCCAACAGAGGAAACTTACGGAAATTCAGAGTCTTGGATCCGAGCCCCGGTGTCCAGCAACTTCCCGTGGAAGGTGCTTGGTGCTTGTCCAAGCTCTTGAGGGGAGGTTTGTGTTGGCCATGCCACCAGATCTGGAGATACTTTTTCAAGGCTTGGTTGACTTGTTTAACATGATGCTTTGGAATATGCATTTGACCACGGGACACCAAGAAGACCCCTTTGGGAGGCCTGGGTTTAAAAATGGGGACAGGAAGGAAGAATGAATATGAGCAGCACTTCAGCCCAAGAACGGAGAGGATTCTGAGTCACTTCATGGACTTAATAGTCACTCTGCAGCCTTGACCTTGAGTGACTGGGGAAATGCTGGTGTTATTATCGAAAACAAGGCTTAGGACCACTGGTTTGGAGCAAAAGATAGGGTGATGTTTAGGTGGAACTGTCCAGCAAGGAGCTGAAGTTTGGGGCTCAGACGTAGTCTCTACTGTGCAGGGCGGCGTCCGTCCTTCCTTACGTACAATGTACACTCGTCATGGCAAGTCCAGGATGCTGACGCTGGCTTCAGCCCTGGCATTGTGGCCTTTTCCTCCTCATTTCCACACACCGTGGTCAGTGGGATTGGCGCGCATGCTGGGCTCCAGAGTGGTCAGGCAGGTTAACATGGGCGGAGTGTGAAAGAATTTAGAGGCCTTACTCCAAGCGCTTGATTGAAGTATAATTTCTGTGTGTTTGCACATGTCACCCACAGTAATTCTTTAGTGAACTGAAACCTTCAGGTGATTGAGTTTTGCTGCATTGGGGACTGAAATGCGCTTTTAAGAAGACATTGTTTCCTACAGTGTAGATTCTACATTAGTAGTATGATTCACATTTGAGAATTTCCTCAAATCGAGTATACTGCGTTCAGCTAAGTTAATTTCATGCCACGACTCATCTTCTTTCCAAAATGTGTGACTAGTGAACGCCATTGCTGTCAGAATTATTGACATTTCAGTGTCTGGAATCTTTTTCATCTTCCATTAAGTTTTTTAGCTGTTGAAACAGTGAGTGAGTAGTTTTTCGGAGTCTACTCCGTGTTCACACAGAAGGTTTAGTATATTGCAGGAAAGGAAGGATGAGAAAGAGATACTAGAAAAGTCTAAGGCAGGGAGGAGGGAGAGCGAGTGTGAGAACAATTCTGGTTCTGGGGTGCTAGTGGCCTAGCGTCACAGCTCCTTCCGTGACCCCCTGCCAATGAATCCTAGTGTTAGGAGTCCAGAGGGGTCCATGAGAAGAAAGTTCAAGGGCACCCTTGCTGATGTTGGGTTGTCAGATGGTTGTGGTTAGATACTCTTACAGCTGCTGAAGCTGAGAGGATTCGAACCACTTTTTCTATGGAGGAGAGAAAAACTGTAAGACTGTGCTTGGCTTTCCCTTCTCCCGCCTGTTGAATCCGTTACAGTAGCATTTAGTGAAACTATTTCTGAATCACACCCATGGCACTGGAGAGTGTGTGTCGATCACTCACCCACACACAGGTGTACCGTAATCTCGAAGGGGCTGTAGGCCAGAGAGGATGCTGATTTGAAAAACTAGGGTCTGGCCCGGACAGCTCAGCCTGCTGGAGGAATTCCGAGGGTCACCTGTAGACTCTTCTTTCTACCCCTCAGAATGTGTGCTCGGGACTCAACTGCCGCCAAACACCAAAAAGCCTTCACAGTCACTTTGCCAATTTAAAAATGACAGGGAATTATTTTTTTCTAAGATGATATTTATCCAAGTTGAGGTTGTCCTTAAGCTAGCTAGACTTTCCATTATTTTGGACCCAAATAGCAGGGGATATGTTTATTTCCATCCTATAAGTTACTTGATGATGTAAGAGACTTTTGTGTGCTCAGGGCTTTGGGCCACATGGAGATTTGAGTTAAAGATTTTGGGAGAAACTGAATGTGCAGTTGTGTGTGTTTGCACTGACTCCTTATTCAGTCGAACCATTTCAAGTCTGAAAAAAACCTTGCCGTGTGCCTGAGACTTCATGTGAGGATCTGGTAACTTCACTCAGGACTTTAGCTAAAGCCTTGATTTCTGCTGAAGTAGTTTGAATAGTTTGCAGAAACCCGTGTTTTCAGATTGCTCAATAAAATCAAAGTGCTCTTGGTCGCCTTTTTATCAAGTTCCAAAATGTTCTGTTAAACCTTTCCTATTTGTTGTATTA